CTCTCTCTGCAAGTGGGAGAGAGAGCTGCAGGAAGAGTTGTTCGAATGCACACCTCTGTTACAAGCTGCTGCTCTTTTAAGCCACATTAACAACAGTGTAACTCTATGGCCACATTTGGTGGCTCCCTTATTGCCCAATGTCCACTGATTCCAGACTCAAGGGACAGGCAGTGCATGCTTCTGAAGGTCCCATGGTTGCAGCGGTCTCTGCACACCAGTTCTCATTGGTACTAGCACAATAATTAATGTGCATGAAGTAAAGATTTAAATAAACCAACTCTGCCTCTTGTTACAAGATTATTCTACCCCCTAAATTACAATATAATTGCAAGTCAAGCAAATTGCTGTTTAAAAATCCCTCCCCAACCCAAACTTGCCTGGGAACCAAGATTTGAGAAGCTGGCAGGAATGAATCAACTTCAGCAGGCTTAGCCTTTCAGTAGCAGATGCTTCCCCCTTGCTCAGCCGGAGCTCTTAACCAGAGCAGGATCTCTTCCGAGATTCAAAGCACCTCAGCCACACTCTTCCAGGGGAACTGTAGTTTGCAGGGGTGAGTGCAGGCAGCCAGGCCTGGTTCTCCAAGTGCTGAGAAGGGTTGTTACTGTTGTTACTTAGCACCTCAAAAAAAAAAAAAATTAAAAATATATGGTCTGTGCTGACTTGAAGTTTGCACCCTTAAGTAGGGGCTGTGTTTAATGTTTCAGTCATAGCTGCTTGACTTGTTTATTCACTGTATATCTTGCTAGGTTCATCCAAAGCTAGAAATATTTATAACTTGATTATTCTGTGAATAGTCTTTATATCTCCATAAATACAGGGGGACTAAAATCCTGCCTTAACTTACACCCTCCATTATCCCTTCAGCTTTACAGGGACTACAAGGAATGTGAATCAGTGCAAACTGAACTTAAAGTGTTTTAAGACATAGCATCATGAACTGGTATTCCCCACCACCACCTCCATCCCCCTTATATGTTTGTTGGTGGTTTTTTTTTTTGTTTTGTTTTTTTTTTTTAACTAGCATTCTTTTATTACAGCATTATGTGAAATATCTTCATGTATTTTCAGAAATATATTTATAATGTGTAACATACTGTATAGTTTTCCACTCAAGTGCATTGTAATACAAGCATAAGAAATTTAATAAAAAGCATCACTATCACGATAGCTGTTTTCAGATATTTTATTAATGAACACCTGAGTTGCAGTATAGGATACCACAGATTTCAGGTGAGCATAGCTGGTCAAGAAAGGAATTGTTACCTCTGAGCTTTTAAATAAATACTTTAGCTCTGGCAAAGACGCAAGTTTGTTCTTTTGAGGCTGGTGCCATTCTCAAAGAGCCTTTGGAAAGTTCAGGTACAGCCAAGTGTGGATGTTCATTTGAGGAGTCCTGCATTAGGTGCTCATACTGGGCTTTGCTTCCAAAGCCACAGAGGACGCAGATGCAGCAGGGCAGCACACACCACCTCCAGAGGAAAGCGTGAAAACACTGGGGACAAAGTGTGCTGATGCTCAGCATCAGGGTTTCTTTCTGAAAATTTGGGTTCATTAGCAGTGCCACACAACAGCCTCAACTGAAAGGCACTGGCTGGCATCAGGGCTGCTTTTCCTCAGCTTCTCCTTCATTCACAGCCCACAGCGCCCTCCTGGGCAGAGGAGCTTTCCTTCCCCTGCAGGACTCTAAGCCAATGTCTACAGCAACCCACACCACCTTTAGTTCAGCTGTACAGCCAGGCAGTATGGATCAAAGCTAAAGAGGGTGCTGACACAAGAAGTCACATGCAGTTAATCAGAAGAAAGTAAAGAAGAAAAATCAATGAGACCCAAGAAAGTAGAGGCCTAGAAAGAAAAAAAAAAGCCAGAAATACACCTGTGAAGGCAGAACAAGAGACTACACTTGTGCAGTAGAGAAAGTTGCAGAACAAAGCAGCAGTGAAAGCCACTAACACCCCAATGGAGGAGAACAGGCTAGGAAGAAGGGGACAACGCACCAGAGGAGGAAAAAAAGAAGTGTGACCAGCAGGTCAAGGGAGGTGATTCTCCCCCTATATTCCACTCTTGTGAGACCTCACATGGAGTACCAAGTCCACCTCTGGGGCCCCCAACATAAGACATGGACCTGTTGGAGCAAGTCCAGGGGAGAGCCACAAAGGTGATCAGAGGGTTGGAGTGCCTCCCATACAAAGACAGGCTGAGAGAGTTGGGGTTGCTCATGTTGAAGAAGAGAAGGTTTCAAGGAGACCTTATAGCAGCCTTCCAGTACCTGAAGGGGAGCCTACAGGAGAGATGGGGAGGGACTTTCTACAAGGGCATGTAGTGTTAGGACAAGGGGTAATGGCTTTAAACTGAAAGAGGATAGGTTTAGGTAGATATTAGGAAGAAATTTTTCACTGTGAGGGTGGTGAGACACTGGAACAGGTTGCCCAGGGAAGCTGTGGATGCCCCATCCCTGGAGGTGTTCAAGGCCAGGCTGGATGAGGCTTTGAGCCCCCCATGGCAGGGGGGCTGTAACTAGATGATGTTTAAGGTCCTTTCCAACCCAAACCATTCAATGATTCTAGGAAACCTCCATGTTGCCTAGCTTTCATGCTGTGCCAGTGCTTCACACAGACAAGTCTCATTCCACTGCTGCTTGTGCCCTTCCCATCCTGCAAAGGACCAAACAGCAACCATAGAAGTCTTCCCACAGAGTGGATAAGGGAATTAAGTTCATTTCTCTGCTCACCCACCTCCACTTACCATTGCACGTGCCCTGTGCTAAGCAGCAGGTCCCCTACAGCAAGATCCAGCTCTGCACCAGAAGGGGTGGTCCCTGCAGGAGAATCTACCTGATCCCCAGAGCTCCCTGCCACTTTGAGACAGTTCAGCAACCCCATGGAGGGTAGCAGAGAGCAGCTGTGCAGGGCCTCTGCCCTCCTAGCTCCTTCAGCCTCCATACAGGCAGGCATCTAAGCTCTCTAAGCAAATATTTTTGTCTACCATACTGAGGCATGGGAAAACTCCAGCAGGCATCAGGAAGGAGTTTCAAATCTTGGCTAGCACTCACAGTTAAGGGCGGTGCCAGAGCATCCTGCCTGGTGTACTGAGAAGGTGTGGTGCATGTTACTCCTCTAATTGCCTAGTTAACATTACAGACAGCTGCTAAAGACTTGTCATAAGGCACATTATGAGTTTACACTCTGCTTTCTCAGAGCTCCACCTGTACCAAGGCCATTTAGTTGCCAGAGGCACTCCTTAAGGGAGGAGGCTGTTTGACCTATCTCCCCAGCTAATGTTTTCTCCAGCCTATGATCTCATTTACCCTCCCACTATACAACTTGGAGCAGTCTTATCTTCCCTTCTTCTGATTAGATTTTAAAAGCAGCCAAGACTAAGAGCACTGGTTATTCTGGAAGTAGCAGGAAAGAGCAGTTCTACTAGGAAAAGAAAAACATTGTAGGGTGATTCCTGAAATTTCTTGCTGGAATAAGAAAGGAATTAAAAAGCAGTTCCAACCACCTGTTAGCACCTTCCAATCACACACAGTAGGGGTGCAAGCTAATTAAATAGAACAATATCTGCTACCTCAAGCAAGATACTGTTCAGTATTTGCTTCTTCCATGTATGTAAGAGCTGCTCTTCCCCTTCAAAGGCCTCTAAACAGTATGATTAAGACTACTCCCCTGTCTTTTAACAGGAGGAATATCTAATCAAACCTGTGAGAAAAAAAAATTTCCTTCCCCTCAAGCATCCTTGCTCAAGGACTACCCCATCAGCTACAAGCGGATCTTAGTGTGAGTACAAGCACCAGAGCTCCCCCAGCCTGGGCAGAAGAGGCGGGATGGAGCCCCTTTCCCCCTCCACCATCAGAAGTTTGCTGGACGGTTTTTGCCCAGGACCTTAGGAAGCTGAGAATGATCCTGCTCAGCTGCTGTGACTGACCACACTGAACTGCTCCTGATATTCAGAACAGCAAGTTCCATTTCTCTTGTCAAAAAAGGACATCCATGGCACTGTTATGCCAACAGTGGTGTCAAATTGGCTTCAATCTGAGAGCTTTTAAGACTGTCTGCTCTCATATGAATCTTTAAATCAAGCTTCAATATTTTCCTGAAGTTCAAACCAGGGAGGCCTTTTTTTTTTTTTTTTTTTTACATTTGGAATGAAGTTTCCCTGTTCTCACACTCCAGAAAAAAAGATTCCACCTGCCCTTTTTTGTTTCCAGAGCAAGAGAGGTAGGTTCATGTACAGCATCTGCAGTGACTTACCTAGTGAGCTCAGGGGCAAGTGGGCAATTCCCAGCTTCTCTGCAGTCAAATACCAGCTCTCTATCCCCAAAGGAGAAGCAGCTGCAGGATTTGCTTTCAATTAGTTTTGCTGCACTTCTTAGTGTTTGAGAGGAGCCAAGATAAGTACTTTTGAAGGCCACCTTAGTCACTGACAGAAATGCAGGCATCACCCAGCATCACGTCTGTCTCAGTCTGCAGCTTCCCAGCAGCCCAGGCCATGACAGGGGCTCCCTCTTGAGAGCAGCAAACAGTTGACACTAAGAGCAGAATAATAGCCAGAAAGTGAGATGGGTTCAGAGAAACAGCATTTGGAAAGCCCACAGCCATCAGGATAATTTTTGTCTTACAAACAAAGGCTCACAGACAGTGTCCCCAAGACAAACTCCTGTTCAGCCCCAACTGCTGTAGGCCAGGGAGGAGTCCCACAAACCAAGTGGGTTTGACAGCTACTTTATGGCAATACATTGATTTCATGTGTTACAGGCACCTTCTTTTGCCACAGCACAGCAGCCACAAGCATCATGCACAGAGCTGCCCCAGTTGCCCCAGCAGCAAACGCCAGAGCCCAGGAGGCTGCAGCATGCACAGCTTCTCCTGTGTGGGGAGAGAAGCTCCAGATAACACTCATTGGGTGAGGCACAGGGATGCCTTAGGGGCTCAGTCTTTCTGCAGGAAAGACTTGGACCAGCCCCCTTCCCTAGCCTGGCTACACTGGGCTGGCATGCTTACCAAGGTCATCCTTGGCTGTGTCCCATCTTAGCTCATCTTGGAGGAAAATCACAGGGCCTTTGCTGGAGACATGAGAGGCACCATCCTGAAGATGATGGTCGGCACTCCTTTTACACCCTACAGAGCAATATTAAGGTTTTAAGTGAGAAGATATATAGGCCTGGAGGTGAGCAAACTTTGTCCAGGTCAGCTTCTCAACACACGGGAAGCTCTGAAGGCCCAGCCTTCCACGTGAGGCAACAGAGAATTAAGAGCCCATGAAGACCTCTGCCTTTTCAGCATAAGGGCAAGTGCCTTTCCTCAGTAGAAAGGAGCAGAAATGCACTGTCAAAGGTGTCCAAGGCTCAAGTAAACTAGTCCATAGCCTACACGTCCTCCTACCCCCAGTTTAGAGGCTAGACCCTTGTTGCCCCTCTGGATGGGGAAGCAGGAAGGCTAGGACACTTACTGGCTACTGGCTCTAGCAGGACATGTGGTAGTGCAGGACTCCTGTACAGACCAGTGGCACACTGAGGCACTGCAGTGCAGGTACACCTAGAAAGAATGGGACACAGCCTTGGATCACTCCAGCAGTATCTGTAGACAGGCGATATCCTGGTGCGGTGCATTGACCCTGGTCAGCAGCTAAGCACCCACACAGCCACTTCCTCACTCCCCCTACCCTGCCCCAGAAGGCTGGGGAGAGAATAGGAAGAGCAAAAGCAAGAAAACCTGTGGCTGGAGAGAGAAAGACACTTTGACAAGTGAAGGAAAGGGAAGAACAAAAATCAAAGCACAAGTGATGCAAAGGCAAATCACCCACCCTGCTCCCACAAGCAGACTGGTGCCCAGACAGTCTCTGGGCATCATCTACACTGGAAGACAAAATCCTCCAGTGTTTATTGCTGATCATGACATCATATAGCATGGAATATCCCTATGGCCAATTTAGGTCAGCTGCCTCCCAGCTTCTAGCCTACCCCATGCCTACTCACTTGAGGCTGAGAAAGAGCAGAGCAAGGAGAAAAAAGCCTTCATGATGTGCAAGCGCTATTCAGCAATAGCTAGAACATCGGTGTGTTATCAACACTGTTTTAGCCACAATTCCAACAACACAGCACCATATGGGCTGCCACAAGGAAAGTTAACTCCATCCCAGCCAGATCCAGTGCACCTGGTCACAGAAGCGAGAAGGCAGAAAGGCTGCTTTGGCTTGTTTCACATACAGGCTGCAGCCTTGCAGCCCTCTGCTGCCTCCTGCAAGGCAGCTCTGATACCATTACCATGCACCTTCAAACTTGGACAGATCTGGCATTACAGCACTACAGCCGGACTACCTGGGAGACAGCTGTCCAAGCACCACTACACTGTGACCACTGCTAGGTACAGCTGGGACGGGTTTTGTGTATCAACTGATCCCAGGAGCACTGAGCAAACAGTAGAAGGCATGGTGAAATTCATGTGACTTAACTGCTCAGAAGTTCATGAGATTCAGAGCCCAGATGTTTCCCATATACCAAAAGCTATTTTCAAGTAATTTTGGCCAAGAAAAGTATTTTAGAGAATATTGATTAGCATAGTTAGAGCACACAGCCTATGCTAGTTCAACAGAACAGCTCAGGCAGCAAGCTAGCACTTGCTTAAGTAGACCTACCCTTTCAGTAGTCTCATTTTCTGTCCCACCCCTCCAGTGATGCACCTTCACCTCTACCACATTGGTCTCAGGGAATGAAGAGTTTCTTGCATCAACCTCTCCCCTCCCATTTCAGGGGGGGATTTTTCTGGTCTTTGGGCACCCACTCCAAGAAGGCCAATACTCTCACGGTTATGAAGTGGTTCTTAACTGCTCACCTGTGTTACTTGTCCTCAATAGGAAGCCAGGCAAGCAGGACAGGATCTTACCAGCCCAGAGAACATCTCTTGGGAAGTGGAACCCACAAAGGTGAATGTGTAGAGGGTGAAACTCTGGTAAGGAGAGGGGAACAACAGTCCTGAAGCAAGACTCAGAGGCACTAGCTGGGTCTGATAGTTGTCCTCTGCACAAGGGCACCTGAGAAGGAGAGGCCAGCAGTGAAAAAAGTGCAAGTCATTCCCCTGACCCAAGCCATTTACAAGTCACTTACCCATCCACCAAAACAGGCCACTGCAGCTGTTGCTGGGGACTGACATTTGGTGTGGCCCAGAAGTGGTGCAGGACCAAAAGCAGGTCTGGGTTTGTTCTCTGTTCTCAGCAAGGCCAGCATGTTCTCCTGCCTGT